CATGCGTTGACGTGCATATAGTGTGAGTATAATGTGAGCCCTTACACAGCTTGTAGACAGCTGCATTGTTTTAGCTGATCTGTTCCATCAGGTGTCTGCTCTTAATGTGGCTGTAGACGCTTGCATATTTTTAGCATATTAAATGTGGTGCATTGATAAAGATTATATTACCCACAATATGAAAAGTGGTTCATATAGCTTTCCTGTACCCAGCTGCAACATTAAAAAGATACTGTAACACAATAGTGTTGTATAAAAGAACGCAAAAAGGTCCCATTCTGCACAAGTGCCTATGTGCTTTTACAGCAGGAGGATATTGAATGCAGGAGTTGTTTTTACATGATTTTATTGCTGTTTGGACTGCAGTAAAGATGTGATTACGTGTTCCGCCAGCGACTGTGTCAATAGAAGAACTTTATTATGGAACTAATCACCTCTATGTGACGTTACAGAATAGAAAACTTCAGCTGCGGTGACACGTCATATTTCATCTCCTATCACTCAGCAGACCAAACATGACCCGATCAAACAAATTCACATTTCAGTTTGTCACTCTTCATCTCTGGCTGCCAACTAATCCCACACATCAGCCCGGTGTGTTTGAATGGCCTGTTTTGACTGTTGGAGCTGTGTGTGGTGGATTTGGTCAGGCATGAGGTGAGGCGTGCCTGCCGGCTGACGTCAGGCCCGGCATGTCGAGCGATGGCACGGTCGGATGATCTTTACAGAAGGACATGCTTTGCTAAAGTTGGGACTAAGACGTGCCTCCACATGAGAGACGGCATGTCTTCTTTTTCCAACAGATGGCAGCGCTCCGGCGACTGGAGGGAGAAGACAGAGTGAGAGAAGGGGAGACAGTCTGTGGTTTTTCCCTTTTCTCCTCTTGTCTTTATGACTTTTGCTTTTTATTTACCCCTCACCACCGCCTGGGGACCGAAACGTGGCAAACAATGTTTTTATTTGTCTCAAGACGGCGGTTTGATACTGTATCTGCCAGCGCTTTAGAGCCATGCTGGCCCAGAATTCCACTGTTGTTAAATGTGCAGCGATAAAAAAAATCATCCCTCTGGTTCTCATTACAGCTTTGCGAAATGGCTTCTTTAATTCCTAATGTTTTGGAGGGCTGTGACGGTTTTCTCTGCCTTTTTTTTTTTTATCCCCTCGTGTTGAAATCAGCCCTGTGCTGTTTCCAATTGGTGGTTTATAAAGCGCTCTGCTGGCGTGGCACTCTCACATGACAATAAAAATGAAGTATTTACTTTTGTTTTTCCTAGAGATGTGAGGGCCAGGCGTCTCTTGCCATTGACTCATCTCATAAGACACACTGTGCCTGCTGCAGTCATTCCACATCAGCTATTTGCGGGGACAATTTCAGAATGACAACATCTGTTTCAGAGAGATAAACATCATTGTAGCATCACACAGTGGTCATCTGCTCATACGACTTGTTCTCAGCACATAATTTGTGTCTGATTGTGATTACATGAGGAAACTGGATTCAGAGGATTCACAAGCCTGCGGCCAATTTCTCACAGACACAATCTTTGAGCCAATTTACAGTAATGGAGACCATTGTCCAAACCGTGGTGGTGCTTCAAGTGTTGATATACTTGTCTAGCACAAGTGGAAAAAATACTCCATCACAAAAGTCTTGCCATTAAAAAATGTATTAGTGTCAGTAAATATAGAAAATAAACACACAGGTATGCATTGATTTATGAAAAATAAAACTACTCTTTGTGATGAATGGACCCTGCTACTGTCACCTCTAAAAGTTAGGATTATATACAACTAATCTGAAACAGCAAACACATTTTGAAGGGAACATAATGCTGGGCAAATTACATTTTAATGAACATAATGAGGAAACTTTAACATATTAATTAACATATCTGGCAAGTCCCAAAGATTTTGATACTGAATGTATCAGTAAATTGTTCACCAACAATGTATTTTAAATGTTTCCTGCCAAAATAGCAATGTCATACTCTATCCACTCTTAGTGACTAAAGCATTATTTTATTACCTTTTTTTATTAAAATTAACCAAAATCACAGTGTTTCTTTCGCCTTAACCAAAGCGCTTTTGTTGCCTAAACCTTAGACAGGAGAGTGGACACAAACCCAGGGTTAGTGGTGTGAAAGTCCTGCACTCTGTACGCCTGCCATCCTCGCCAACCACCTCCGCTTGAAGCCTGTATGGTACATGAGTGTAGTGTTTCATTATCTGAAAGAAACGTTGTCTCTAACATAATCCAAGCAGCAATTACATGCCACAGTAATGTAATTAATGAAGCTGTTTAGCAACATACACCGAGATGTCTATGAGACGGGGTTGCATTGTCACTGTCCTAACTATAAAACAAAATGTCCATACTTAACATATAAATAACGGACGTAGCTACAGTGACGTCACCCATTGGTTTGTGGATTCCCGTTCTGAAGCCTTGATTTGGGCGTCGCCATCTTGTTTTTTGGAGCCAGGAGTGACCATATTTAGACGATGATGGTGGAGGTGTGAAGAAATGCCTGGTGAATTTGACTCAGAAGCCCTTTTTAGATAGGAGTGCAAATTTGCAGGAAAGCCCAATCAGTCTTTTTCAGCATTGGCAGTATAAAAACAAAATCGGGGAGTGCAGCAAAATGCCGCCTACCTACTTTTGTTTATACAGAATGTGCCTTTTTCGGGGCAATGGGGGGCGTGAGCAAGTAACAAAAAGTGTAGCTCAGTGTGTGACGTAAACAGTGACGTGGGAGGGAAGCCGCGGCTGGTCAGTCCTTTGGCGATTCTCTCATAAGTCGGCCCGTCCTTCACCGTCCCCGTCATTTGACGGTTAATGGCCTCTTCATTTGCAAGGACAAGGAGGGCGCGCAATTCCTTGTCTCCCCAGTTGCTCATCTTTACAGTGTCTGTCAGGTTTGCTACTAGCTGCTCGCTAATTCCTGCTATCAGCTGTTTCCTGTTTATCCACCGCCAGTGGGTCACACGTGCGGCGTCATCAACGGCCCCTCCCGTTGTGGAAGGCCGCCTCGGTCTGTTGAAACTAAAAGGGTTCTGCCAATATGTCTACCCTACGAGGCAGAAAATTGGGCACCTCGGATCAACTCGCCAATCCGGCTCTGTGTGTCTAAACGCTCGCAGCTTGCCAGCAAAAAAGCCCAACATTCGCCGAACATCTGGCAGTGTAAAAGGGGCTAGAGACTGTAGCGACACCTCGCAGACAACCTGTCACTCAAGTGGCCCCGCCCTTAAATGTGTGTAAGTTTAAGCCTTAATAGAATGTAAACAGGTGAGTTATATAAAAAATACATTTGTTATGAATGCTCAAATTAGCTATAGAGAAACATGTTAATTCCTGCTGTAAAGTTTCTGCTGCAGAGCCTGCCTCAAGTGGTCGTTCAAGAAACTGCAGCTTTTGGTACTTCTATGTCGACTTCAGTTTTCAGCATTGGAGGTCGTTGCGTGGTCTCAACATAGCCTGCCTGGTACTTGTTACATTGACAATGACAATCTCCAAAAACCAAACATATTTACAAGAACTTTGATCTTTTTTTTAAAGAAATGTTGCTGGCGAAGATTTCTGAATTATCTACAACTCTGCCCCTGGAAAAAAAATACATATGCTATCAGGGGTAATCACTCACCTTTTCACAACATCTCAGGTCCCTTCGTGTGTCATCTAGAGTCAAAAGACTCCACATGATGGAAGCACCGGGAGAAATGCTCTAAGTTTACCTCTGCAGTGTCCAAGTCGTTTTTATATATAAAACTATTGTCACTGTTTGTGCATTAATATAAGATGTACTTAAACTGAAGTGTACCACCCTTTTCACTTCTTTATTTCATTTATTTATTTGATTTTTATGTATTTATTTACACTTTAGGGGTGGTGTCGGGGTCGGGGGGATTACATGAGTGAGACTTTGTTCAGGTGTCCAGTTTTTTGTGTGTTTGTGTAAACACAGACACACATGCTGGTGTGTATGTCTTTGTTAATTAATTTGGAAAAAATAACTACAAGTTTGAAATGAAAGAATAAAAATCTCTGAACAATGTCTTTTTCACCAAATGCTGCTGTTTTGTTCCTGACGTCGGGATCGATATCTCACAGCCTTCACCAGCTGAGATGAAGTTGAAAAGCTCTGAATAAGCTCACAACTGGACCTTGAGTTGTTATTTTACATCGTACATTCAGAGTGAAAGTAAAACTGGTGATAGAAAATGAAGTTATGAGAGTTTATGATAAAACAGGAAAATGAATCTAATGAAATAAAGATGATTTTGTAATGAAATGATCCAAAAATAGTTTATTTCGTTGGTTTTTTATTTGAGCATAGAAGTTCATTGTGCGACAAACTTAGTTCAACTCATGGTTTACAATCTAGTTATTCTGGAAACTGTTATCACTCAACTAACTCTGAAGCTTTGGAGTTTTTGAAGGCTCGCAGGAAGCTTGTAAAGGGACCTCGAACTGAGATTTCTTTTGTCACACACGTTATAAATTGGGTGTGAAAGCCTGTAAATCCCCTATATTTGGGACAGAAAATGGAGTTAGGAGGAGTTTATGATAAAATAATGTTATAAAGTGATGAAATATTTTACTTAAAAATGATGGAAATCCCCCAGAAGGTGCGAGATTCAACTTTCTTTCCAGGGTTAAAGCAGAAAAACCATCCAGCTTGGAGATTTGGGGGATTTCCGTGCAATAAGCTGAGGTACAATCCTCTGTAGAAAATTAGGCATTAATTTAAGTCAAATCGACTCACACTTTAAGCACTGGAGCTAATGTAAGGGATGTGTGCTTTGGCTGCCATGTTGGTGCAGGTGTTAAATACTTAAATAGATGACTAACAGATAAGATGTTACACAGTGTAAAGATACACAGACGAAACAAACACACCGACGGTTCACTTGGATGTAAACTGAAAGCTTTTGGCTCGTGCTTGTGTCCCTGTTGCCGTCTGCAGTTCAACATGTTGCCTTTGCTCTCCCTCCTGCAGGTAACACATGTCAAAATGGCCTCATGCCCGCCCTGGTGCGTCCCACCCTGCCCGCCATCCAGACCTCACTGGGCATGAAGCAGTTTCTCCCGTTTCCATTGGATACGGCCTCAGCAGTGAGCCTCTTCCCAGGATTCAACACGGTGAGTGTTGCGTGTGTCACGTGATCTGCTGTTCGGCCCTCGCTGAGGTCATCCTGATGGATACCAGTGCTATGACCGATTGCTTTCATGTGTTCAGGACTCCACATCTCTGTTTCTCATCTCGACGTATCTCTAAAATATTCACATTTGGACACATCTTTATTTGAAGCTGTTATCACCGACTCAGAACAATGAGCAGCTTTGAGCTTTGAGATAACAAGGTCTGAGATTCCTCAGCCGTATTTGGTCAAGTTCATGCTTCTGCATTTTTCTATTAATCTAATAAAATGCTCTCACTTTAACAGTGAAACATGTTATTGAAATGATGCTTTTAATGGTTTGATGCATCCCTTTGAAAAATCGAAGGAATGTGTTTTATGTTGTCGACATTCCACTTAAGAGGAGCACATTTTTCTGTGAGAGAAATGTTTTGTTGTGCAAACATTTGAGCTCTCCAACCATTCTGCATTTCTGTTACAGAAACTATATAATTCCTCTTTTAGTGATGCAAAAAAAAGTAGAAGCATATGTGGAAATGGTGTGATCATTGTGATAGTGCACTTACTGTCCAGACATTTTCAACTCCATCTTGGTGATTTATTGACAGCCCGACATGTCTTTAGGCTCTAAGACCAAAAGTCATTAACTGAGAGCAGGTTATTTTTCTTTGAGGAATTTGACCGCAGAGTACGGCTCATCTTCTTGTTAACAGTCACATCTGTTTTTATTTTAAGCTCCAACACAGAAACATAGTTTACCATAAAAAAAGACAGTTGGCATCCAGGCTGTCCAAAACTTATATTTTAAATGTGCAGTAAGTGCTGGTGCTTTGAATGTCTCTTTGAACGTCTCACAGTAACAGCTAAGAACGCGTCTGAGTACAGCTTTTGTGAGAAACTCTGAGAGCATAGTTTGCAAACATGCTCCATGTTTGTGTGTGTGATGTGTGTCACCTGCAGCGCAGATTAATGTTCTTCTTTTTGTCCTTTTTCTTACTCGCCTGTAGTTTCTAAAATGATTTATAGATATTTTTCAAAAGGTTTTCGAAAAAATGATCAAATTTGACAGCCTACTTTTCTTTCAGTGGTATTATTTTTCCTCTGCAGTTACTACTGAGTTTCAGAAATGTCCTTGAAGGCAATAGCTTTTATATTGAATAAACCTCAGCCATGTTCCTTCTGACCCAATCGCCAGAATAAATGTTAGCATTGTGCGTTTCTGCAAACTGTGAATATGTTGCATTTATATTTCAGATGTAGCCGCTGTGTTGACACTTCTCATTTCTTTACCTTTAAATTGGCTATTTTAGGTTCTGACACACTGTGATTATCATGTGGTTAGGTTTGGATTAGGGTAACAATATACTCACACTCTCACTCTGACCTTGTCACATATCAACGTTTGGTAATGTTTCACGTCCCCATACAACGTGCAAGGTACCTGGGTGCGTTGGTTGTTGATGCTGTCAAGTTCTGCCTGTCACATGCATTGTCTTCTTTCAAAATACACTTCTGTTTCACAGGAAATTTAACGTTTACATACAGTCTCTTTCAAAATAAACTCACTAAGTCGATAAAACACTGCAATTTGACATATTTTTTCCCGTCAACAACTAAAGGATGTGGTTGGGTTTATGAAAAAAGAACAGGGTTTGGCTTTACAATCTTACAGGACGCCAACACCACTCTCCCGTGTGAAAGTCAGTGTTTGTTGGATCCAAACACCACTCCTCACACCCAAACTTCTTGGACTTTTGCCGCCTTCACTTTCATTTTTGTCCCTTCTTGTTACCCCTGATGACTATAACAGCGACCGGCCGCATATCATGCCAACATGAAAGGACAGCTCTGTTTGTCCGTGTCTGATGCCACAAGTCACTGCCCAAGACCAGGTTGATTTTGGTTTAAATACAAGGCTTGGTCACCGCGGACATGGCTACACATGTTCCAAACTCTGGTTTAAAAACACCCACTTTTCTCATACGGTGCTCTGCTCTGTCTGCAGCTTGGCAGCCGTCTCGCCAAGACGTCCCACTATGCACTATCCCCTCCTCCTGATTAGAAACTCAGCTCACTTGCCTGTAATCTGAACTATGTCGTACAAATCTGTTCGTATTCCAGGTCGTCGAATACTGTCAAATTGTCCCACCCCTCTGCGTCTTATTGCAACATGCGGGACAAACCGCTGAAACACATTGTAATGGGTGGTTAATGTTGTGAAACAGTCGCTGTTAAAGGTTAAAGGGAAAAAAACGAAAAAAGATCATGTTCTGGGTTAAATTAAGTCTGTTTCTTAATGTTACCTGATGTAAATACATAACGTGAGTGACATCAGTGTACGACGAGTGTACATGTTTTGCCCAACGTCACGTTAAAACAACACTGACTTTCGGTTTCACTGGACACACACTGCAGTCTCTTGGCTGAAAGTCTTATTTTGTTTGACCCCTCTGCCCGCCCTACACAGACTTTCTCGCTCTTTATACAAGGGACCTGACAAATCAGCAGTATTTGACTGCACTGGGAATGAGAACTAGCTGGCCATAGCTACGAAATGTTCAGATTAATTGCTCCATATTTCATTCATAGTTGTTTGCAAAAACGTATGATGCCAACATTTCATTCTGGCACCTGGGCTGAAAAATAAACATCGATCTTCGTTGGTTTTTTTATGCCTTTCACAGCCTTCTGTCGTTGCTGTTGTTGGTCAGTGTTGAACATACTTGCAACAACTCTCCAAAGAGTTTCACAGTGTTAGTAACAATGACAGTATCTTGACCCTGGCCCTGGTACTCGGATTGAAAGCGTCCACTCACAACCTTTTAAGTATAGAAATTTAAGTTATATACTGTGTGTAAGATCTTGACTACTGTTTATGTTCAAAGTGGTCCCTGACATCAACCCTATCCACTAAAATGTCAGTTACATACGACTAATTTATATTTAACATAATGAGAAAATGCTGTTATGTATCTTGCAAGTCATAAACGTATCCGAAATTTGTTCACTGACAACATATAAAATTTGTTTTCCTGCAATATCCTGTCTTAGAGCTCAAACAATATGCAGAAATTAAGCAGTTAACATTTTGGTAATTAGTTGAGTTCGGTTGTAGCTACTCAAATAAAAAGACTGTCTTTGTATCATGGGGTATTAAACTAATTATATTTAGGTGTTCGTTTGTTTGTTTTTCAGTCAAAAGAAACCATTTGAAAACATGTGTTTGGGCTCTTGGAACCATGCACACCAAATGATTGATGAACCGATGACGAAAATAGTCATTAGTTGCAAGAATGAACACAATAATGACCCCTCTCTGTTTTATGCTGCGATTGATTTTGGCATGGTTTACTGTTTTATATTATTACACTGTGTACAATTTTATTTTGACATGGAAAAGGCTCCATCATGTTTTAAATTCTGAAATGAGAGAGCTCATTGTTTTTTAAACAGGCACGTCACATTTCAGAGACAAACTCCGCACTGGTTTAAACAGCTTTCTGAAATGCAACCGTAGCATGTGGCTACGCAGCTTTTATTGGATTTGCAATCAGTGAGGCGCTACCTTTTAAATGGAGCACTCACCCGATGTGCACTTACTGTACCAGGACTCGTGTGTACACTCATATGGATCTATTGATTCTCTTTTTGAAAGCAGAAAGTAATTATGAGGAAATATGTGGCCTCGCGCTGCTCGAATCAGCGAGGTCATCAAAATAAAAAATAAAAAAAAATGATGACTTGGTGTAAAAAGAAAAACTCTGACAGGTAAAAGTCTAAAAGATTTTTTTTTCCAGCAGCTCCTTTTGAATTACAAGGATAGCTCAATTTAAAAATCTGCTGGAAAGAGAGGTTGAAATATGGAGCACAGCTGGAGAGAAGTGAGAGAAAAACACATAAAGGGGGGGGAACAAAGTGGGGACGTGAAGAAGAGCCGAGATAACCCATGGGAAGACAGATTGTTTCATGAGAAAGTTCAGGAATACTGCGTCCCTTTTCTCGCCCCTGTCTAATCTGTATTTAACAGACTTGTCTGCAGATAATGAGTAATACACTGGGAGGCCTCCAAGTGGTGGAAAGCTGATACTAGATTAACACAAAGTAATCACCTCTCGCTCTCCGTCGCACAAACACACACCATTCTCACTCTTTCAACCCTTCACTCGTCTCTCTCGGCCTCTTTCTGTTTCCCTTTTAAGTCCCTTATTCTCTCAAACTTTCCTCCGAGATCCCGATTTCCTTACTCGGTTGTAAAAGCAGGAGTTGACACCAGATGCTTTATAAGAAACAAAAGGAGTCCATACACAAGTTACTGTTCTACATTCTGTTGTGCTGCCCCCCTTTCTTCAGCGCTTTCAACACTAGTGTAAGTTTGGTTTCAAGGGTGCAACAAAGGAGCCTGTTTGCCAGCTTGTAGGTCTGATCGGGTTTCTTTATGTGTCACACAGACGCAGGCTGCCTGGGTGGTAAAGGATGTGTTACAAATCTTATAAACAGTGCTGGAAGAGCTGAAATGTCAAACCAGTGCCACAGAGGGAAAGGGACTGCGATTCAGATTGTTAGTTGAGTTAAGGTAGAAACAAACTGCCACATCTGTATCTGAAGTATCTGAAGTAGAACTCTGCCGTGAACGAAAGTGAAAACCTTGAATCTCGAGGGATTTTTTTTTTGCTTTCAGATTAACTGAAGGTTATAAATGAGTACAAACAGAAGAAAAGCAGACCTGAAAGAAAGAAATAAGAGGAGAAAGTGATAAGGGTAAAATAAAGGTTGAAAGAAATGGGAAAGGAAGGTAAGAAGGACAGAGGTAGGATTTAGATAAAAATGATTTAAGGATAAAAAAGAAACAGTTTCATGTTAAATGTAAAATATGGAGCATAAAGGACAATATTTCCCTCTGAAGGCCACACATGTGAAATGTGTTTTTCCATGCACGGGTCAATCTTGAGATTTTGGGCTGTTTTTTGCTCTGTAACATGTCTTCTTTTAGATTATAAGAGA